AAAGGACCTCTGATACACACTCCTCATGCAACCACTTATGTTCTTTCCTATACTACAAGTTGAATCAATACTGTATACATACCTTTCGTAACACTATATGAGAAAGAGCTCTCTCTTACATTAGGCAATATGAGTACAAGAAAATCTTCATTATCAGAAGTGATAGTGATAATAAGAGCTCTCTGAACTACCACGATATCAAGAGAATAGAAGAGTTAAAGTCATTACCTATTAAAGAACTAAGTAAGAAAGAGTAAGATCATTACATTGACTTTAGCATCTTATTCTTCTTAGAGATCTGCTACCACTTAAGGTATGAAGAGAAGCATGTCAAATTGTAGTAGTAGAACAGAGGAGAAGAAGTAGAAAGTTGATACTTGAAGTAATTACCTTGGAGTAATAGGTCTTTACTCTGCTAATGAAAACAATATCATGCCTAAACTCTCCTATATCTTTTCTAGTACATCTGTTTTCATTGGCAGAGTAAAGTTCTATTGCTCCAAGGAAATTACTCTATATATTAACTTTCTGCTTCTTCTCCTCTGTTCTACTACTACTATCTGACATGCTTTTCTTCCTGCCCTAGGTGGTAGCAAATCTCTTCAGAAGGACAAGATGCTAGAATTATGGAATCTTGTATATACGGGAATTGTCTAGGAAGACTTACTGTAACTCCTTTTATTTAAGACTGTTAAGAATATGAAAGGTTTTAGTAAAGATAAAGATTTGAAGATAAAATTTAATAATATTATATAGATAAGATTTCTTCTCCATTGCTTAATGATTGTCTTATGCTTGGGAGATGCTTCAATATTTATATCCTGCATCTAAGTGTTTACAGACTACTTCTAGGTACTACAGTAATTCTAGGTACTATACTATAGTAATAAAGTAACTCAGCAAATTTCATATGCAATGCCTAGAATCTTCTCAAATGTGAACACCATTTGCCTATACCACTTCAGCTTTGGAGCCCAGAATTATTGTCTCAAAGTAGGTTGTAAACTTAATTTAAACGTTCCTGTCGAAATTTGTGACACGGCACCGCACTTACCCTTATACCCAAGTACCAGTTTATCACGCCCGGAACCATATTAACTCCACGAGCGTCCGCTCACTTTTTCAACCCTACTTGCCAGAATGAAAGGGGGAGTCCTAATAATATTATTAAAGAAAAAGAAGAAAAAGAGCAGAGTCTAGTCAATCTCGGCAAGGTAAATAAAATACCCCAATGTCTTGCTACTATTCTTCTCCTATCCTCACACCCCCATGCAGAGAAATCTTATAACTTTCAAAGGCCGAAATTTATTAATATTCTTCGATACTACATTCATTTCGTAATCAGCATTCATTATTGAAAAAAACATTTGCCTCATGTATATTACACTACGATTTCTATTCGAATCCCATAACACCACTCAATCTAACACTTTGCAAACGAAGCCCAACGACCTGAGGTTTGTCGTCAATTTAACCAACCAGATTGGTCAAATGGCACTATGCTGACGCCTTCCGAATTCCAACTCCAGCATTCGTGTCACGGCCAGGAAAAGCCAACAGAAAGGCTTACCAACGCGGTAGACGTATGAGGAGCTTCTCCCTCTCTGCCAACCTGGACTGTCGCACAAACTTTGTTAGAGTGCCGTACATCAAACTCTCGCTACCAGTATACGGTACCGTATCACTGCAGGGCAGGGGAGAGCCAAAACCCGGGATTCAACGATGACTTTATTCGGCTCGGAGGTCTGTTATTTGCCTCTGGGTAGACGGAGATCGGGTAAGTTCTGCTGTGCGTACCGCAGTGTTTCGTGCGGTCTCCGTTGGATCTTTGTCTCTCCTACTCTGACCTGCCAGCCCGGTAAAGGTTGAGCTTAGTACCTCTCTGGTGGGGAGAAAGACTCTGGACCCTGGCGGTACCTTGATGGCTACCACCACCTATCACCAACTCTAAGGGGGGAGTGCAAGTCCCCGCCAACCAGCATTGCTGCTGCCGCCAGCCTCCAAGCTAGTCAGGTTTTCGATAAGCAGTGCACTGTACTGGTCTAGACGAGTATAGATGGTCCTCGGCTGCCCACAGCTCTGGATGGTCCAGTATTATCATAGCCACGATGCACTCGAGTGTTCCCTCGCTAGCGAGAGCGAAAGTTGCCCCGGAAAGAAAGCCATGATTTCTAGGAAAGGTTGAATCGTTCCTGCTGTTTTCCGATGGCGGAGTGGGCATGAGAGCGATGAGAATTTGTGCACAAAAGCGAGGCCGGAAGATAGGAATTGTTGGAGCTTCACCCACATCTCCTTTTCGTGGCAATTGGTCTCTCATATAGCGGTGTGTCCAGCGCAATTAGGAAGAACGTTTGACGAAACCTTTATGATCAAAATGAAGGCCTTCGGTATCTCTTCTTTGGCCGTCCTTGCCTCAGGTGTGCTTGCTACCCGAGCCCCAATCACAACTATTACCGTACTGCCACGGGGACCCCGCTTCTATCATACACCGTATCTCGGGCCACGTGTGCTGAGCGTTGCCCATCAGGATGAAGAGACATGTTTGCTGACCAACATATGCATGGGAATTGGGGTCCACGGGTCGTGCAATGTCATTGAACGCCAATTGACTGCTACTTTATCAGAGTTGGAGGTGTACTCCCCCCTTCGCAATAAATCATACCAGAACTGACAACCCTCAGGACCCCGTCTCTGCCGTCCAAAGCCATCTCCTCCCCACCGGAACCTGCACGCCAACAAGTTCGATATGCTCCTGCGCTACGACATCGACGAAAACTGTGCCCGACCCTGCTAGGCAGGCCACTAGTGTGGTTCAAATGCCATCTCGGAGACCGCCATTTTCCCGCTCTCATACACCTCCCGTCGCCCTCTCACCCAGACGCGCGACTCGGGCCGGAACGTTGCGAGCTACAAGGCAAATATATTCTCCGCTCCGGACCGTTTACGCCGCCTCTTCCATATCCCAGCACTGGCGAAGAATAGGAATCGAAGTCTCGCTGTGAGGAACTCGGATTCGCTCCAGTGGTTTCGCCGTGGAGGCTTATGCAAACGAAGTCGGAAATCCCGGCATCGGATGTGCGGGTGGTCCACCGCCATCTCTTGTGCTACCCCTGCCGCTCCCACCGCTTGTACTACCACCCCCTGTACAGTACCAACCCCATCGCTCCCACAGAATTAGTATCATAACTTCCAGCACTCGCCACCCACTGCCACCTCCACTGCCATAAGTTACCCACTCCGGCCGCTCGGCTCACTATGATCAACTCTGAAAGCGAGAGGGAGGAGGGAGGGGCAAGAGAACATTTTTTAATACCTGTAAGTCCCGCTGCGCATGTAGAGTCGATCGATCGCAGGAGCGTTACATGAGATATTAAGATGCTGGCCACGTCAGGATTCTTCTTTTCCGTTTCCTCCTCCCCCCTTTCGCCCCTTCCCTTTCTCCCGGGGGAACGAAATTAATTTTGAGGATTGGGATTGTTTTTTTTCTTTCTCTCCCCTACGAAGAGTAATTGATACTACCGAGGGGCATGTAGTTAGTGGTCTCCAAATGTACTCGTACAGTACTCGTTCTAGTACGGTATGAATTGAGTCACTCCTTCACCACACCACACTACTATCATCCTAGCAGACAGCAGACTACAGTTACTCGTACCGGTACCTCGAGCGGGGCTCGATACGGTGCAGTAAGGTTAAAAATAGGAAAAAAAAAAAAGTATTTTTATCATCCCATACAAGTCTCTATGAAGAGAGGATCGCCGCACGTATACGGTACCCATTCCGATTTTCTACCACACCCCCTCCCTCCCCCCCAAGCAAGTTATCGCTACCGGTACTTAACCCAACCCAAACCACCACAAGGCCGCATCTAACTTACAATGCAAACCCCCTTGATACCAACAACAATACAACATACCCCCCAAGCAAGTATTAAAAATATAAAAAAAATAAAAATAAAGGAAAAAGTCCTCAAATCATCCGAGTGATACCCCATGACCGCACCCTTCACATAACAACCAACCCACGGCAATAAATTACGCAATACCTCACCTCACCACCCAACCAGCAACTCAACGCACCGCAAACAGTCACGATACCAGAGCGCAAGTACCGGTACAGTACGAGTACATTGCGAGCCCATCTTCACCTCCCGGACCGCGCGCCGGTCAATATGTAGATATGATAATAACTCTTAGGGATAACGATGTGTGTGTGTGTGGGTTTAAATAAAAAAACGTCATCGCCACGTCCTTCCCATTCGTCGTCCACTTCGTTAATTGGTTGGGTGACAGTCTAACCGTACGATAACCCTACTCGACATCGGCCGTTCGTGATGGTTGGTACGGTAGTTTAGGGAAAAAGGGGAGATTCGGGCTGCTGGTTGAGATCTGGAGTTGGACTTATAGCCGTTGTAGTGGGTGGGTGGGTATGAAACCGTATGATATGATAGGGTGATTTTTTTCCTATCATACCGCGAGTGAACATTATGATAATATGGGTCCATTCATTTGGTCGTTAGGGCTGGAAGGGAGGGGGGGGGTGGAGTTATGGAGTGGAGTACTCGTATCATACAGTAAGAGGTGTCCATAAACTAAACTGTCATAAAGTCGTAATAATCACCCCTCACATTTCCTTCCTTGTGGAGGGTAATACAGTCAATAGGGGCACGACGAATACCGGCAGGTGAGGAACAGGGGTGTTTGGCAAAAATGGTGGATTCCTCAAAGTAGGGTAACAAAAAAATATACTGATCCCTGCCCGTCAACCCGCCGGGTATTCGCAGTTCGGTATGCCCCCGTTGGAGACTGTGGTTTGGGATTGATATATCATGATAGCCACCGATATAAATATTAATACCACCATTACGGTACTCTAGTATCCCGATAGCAGGCCATCTTATGAACGGCCACGACGAAGAATACCGATATCACAAGTTTTCAGATGACAAAAAAGGACTATTTTTTTAGTAAAACATATCCACTCCCCTACCCCCGAATTCAATCCTTCCATTTTTTGTAATACCGCCCCTAAGAAATGATGAATATCCAAATGGAAAAAAAAAAAAAAAAAAACTCGACCGCGGTATATCAAATGCAGTACAGTACGGTGGAGGACAGACAAGACAGGCAGGCAGATAGAAGAGGGAATAGAACGATAGAACCAAAAATACACCCAGAGAAAGATGCACGCATGCAAGAATCGAAGAGGGGGGCAATCAAAAGGATGAGAAAATATTAAAAGAGAACGAAAAAGAAAACAAACACATTGGTAAATAAACGAACCTGGATTTGAGAATTCAAGCGACAAAAGAACAGCAACAAAAAACGAAATGATAAGCCCAGCCTAACTCCCGACCCAACGATTAAAACACAAACCTATGGTACAGTAGGAAGCAGAAGAACCCCCAGAGAGAGAAGAGAGAAGCAGGAAAGAATGAAAGGAAAAAGACCTCTTCGTGTCGAATTTCGAATAAATAAATGAGATAAAAAAAAAACATGCGTTAAATCGTGATGCTCATCATTTCCACTAACCATCTTCAATGACCCCTCCCACTTATGCAAGTTCAACCCCGTCAACTCCGTAGCAGAACACCCCCCTGTAAGCAGACATTGAAACAAAACACAGTTAGTCCGACTTCTGCTGAGCAGGTCCCGATGCCGGCGTCGAAGGCGACGAAACCTTCCGCGACGGTGCCAATGACATGCCCTCCTCGCTCAATACACTCAACCACCCGCTTCCAACTTCGCTCCTGAGAGCTTCAACCTTACGTCTATACTCGTCTCCCTTCTGAGCCCAATCGACATTCTCACTCGGTGAAGAGTGGTGGTTCGGAGGAGAGGATTCTGCACCAGACGACGTCTCCTCTGGCGGGTGATATATCTCTTTGGGCGCTGTCGGTAGCTTTGACGAAGAGACAACCACCGGCCTACTCTGTGAGGTCGATCTAATAGCTGTCGGCTTTGTATTTGATTGCATATCTTGGTGGATCGACACATCGCTATCATCCCGGCTCAGTTCGACAACTCTCCGCCTCCCGACCCTCTTCTTAGCTCTAGCCACCTCTCCATTGCCGATCTTGATGATCTTCTCGTTGTCATGCCTATCCTTCTTCTTGGAATCCACTGGTGAGACGGTATTTACCGCAACAGTGGGCGATGGTGGTACCCTCATTACAGGAACGGCAGGGTTCTCCGCTACCCTATCTTTTAGGTTTCGCTTTTCCATCATTCCAGGCTTTTGCGAGTCTAACGAGATATCGTCAGAGTATCCAGGTGTTTCTCGGAACAAATTGAAGATGGTCACACGGTAACAAGAATGGGTCTTGGTGAATGGATTCGAGGCAATCCAGATCTCCGCTATATTAGGTACACCCGTTAACCGAGCCAGTTCTGTGGGGTCAGTGAGTCTGTTCTCCCGCAAATCTAGGCGTTCCAGGGACAACAATCGTTCTACCCCCGCAATTGACGCTAGCACATTGCCACGGAGGTTAAGTGCGGTTATGGCCGGGAGTGGATTTCGGGTCAAGGAGTGGAGAGAATCGATCATGTTTCCAGAAAGGTTCAGAGCACGTAAATTGTAAAGAATGGAGAGACACTCGGGAATGGACTTGAAAAGGTTATTCGAGAGATCGAGCGACGATAAGGAGCCAGCCAACGGGGTCAGGGCAGCTGAGGAGATCGATAGTAAACCATTATCCGCCAAAGAGAGGTGTCTCAAGAAGCGCCATTTTGTATTGGGGAGAATGGCTGGCAGTGTCAGTCCATGGGACGACGGAAGAAGAGTTGAAGTTGACGACGAGTGGCTACTGCCAGAGCCAGATCTCCGCATCCTGTGGGAACGAGAATGCGAGTTCGTAGCAGTAGAATTAGTCCTAGAGCTAGCAGGTCTTGTAGGCGAATTGCTGCGGGGTCGGTTCTTGGAGCTCGACCTTGAGGAATTGGAGGGAACCCTAGACATGGCATGGTAATGGCCGGCAGGGGCACTGCTGCTACCAATCTGACCTAGGGTTGGAGAGGGCGGAGTCGATGGCTCCCCCTCATTGCCCAGACCAGGGCTAGAGGAAGGATACGAAATTATTGGCGAAGATGAAGATTTAGCAGATCTCCGGCGTCTCTTGTCCATGTCATCCAGGACAATAGCAATGATAAGTTCGGAGGGGTCCTTGATCCCACCCCGTTTCACAACCAAACTTCGTAGCCTCTCTGCCAGTTGGTCCCATCCAAAGAATTGGCGGATATCAATATCACAAATCTCCAATGCACTAACATTCTTGAATGCCAACAAGGGGACCGCAGTATCAAAAGGAAACTCTTCAAACCCCTCAATCAGACGAGCTTTCCTATCAGGTGCAAGCCTCAAGCATGGTATCTTAGTGAATGCTGAGTAGAGGTATTTCAAATCGGCCTCCAGGGCTGCCTTTGCCCTCTCACTCTTGACCGAAGCGGACGTCCCGAGTCCGATGGAAGACCACAATGATGACATTCCAGACATGACACTCCTGACACTGGACACGGAGTGTATTGACAAGCTATCCGATGAATGATTCCTACGTCCAGATGCATCCCTCAAGAACGAAACATAATTGCCTGGTGAGCTCTCCGCATGAATGTTCTCCAGACGAACCCCCATAGGCCCAACCGGGATGTTGAGCTCCTCGAACCGACTCAAGAGGTAATAGAGGTGGTGAGGCGTGAGTCCCAATTTTGCAGGTTTAAGGTGCTGCGAGGTGAAGGACAAGGACGGAAGCGAGAAGGCAGCAGCCAGAGTGCTGGAGGTGGAAGAGGAGCCATGGACATATTGAAGGCTGGCAGGAGTCCTTCCAGACACGGCCGGAGCCGTGTCGCTACGACGTGGCTGTCGCCTTTGAAGCTGTAGAGCATTTGCGAGGGCCTTCTCGTGTGTACGAACGAAGTGAGCAAGATGCTTGATGTATGTATGACCGTCCTCGGAGTCCATTATGAATGCATGCAGGTTCGGGGAGGTTATCTCTGTTTCGAGGAAGGAGAGTGGTTTGGAAAAAGCTTATCGCGAGAGTAACTTCGAGGTGATGAAAATGTTAGTGAGGCGGTCGTCCCCATAGGAAGTACGAAGGCGAGACAAGTTGATGACAAGGCAACGGACGTGGGAAAGGGTCATAAGTAGACTGAGCGAGAGAAAACACGAACGCAGAAGCGGTCATAGTACTTAAAATAAGGTACTTACACTGGACAAGGCCACCGAAAACGGGTTTTCCTTTTTTTTTTTCTTCTTCAACAGAAAACCAGGGAAAGCAGAAGGTAGAAATTATAATTATTTCTCACGCACACAAGAAAGGTCCAAGCTATCGGAACCCCGAAGAAAATTCCGGCGAGATAAAAAAGAGCGCTGGTATTTAGGGGGTGGGGGGGGAACAGTAATTAATCGTTGTTCGTAACAGTTCGTTATTACCAAACGAGACTACTCGTAGGCAAGCAGGCAAGCAGGCTATCCGTTCAGTCTTTTTGCTTCGTCCTTTTTTCTCCGATCTCCCTTCCTTTCTTGCCCTACCGTACCAATTGCTGTGGGGCTTATTTGTTTCCTTTTCCACACCGACGTTTCACGAGCAAGCACTTATACCTATAGTCCTCTGGGAGACGTCACAGAGGATTGAAAGATTAAAATCCGACCACTTCTGCAGCGGGCCCTACCAAGTGTCCAGTACCCTCCTCTTCAGAGTGTAGGTAAAGGAGTTGGGGGTGGGGGGGTGAAGGGGGACAACGGGAAAAACAGATCGAGAAGATCGGGGGAGAAGGGTTATTAAGGGAAGAGGAGGAAGAGAGAGAGAGAGGTGGGAGGGACGGAGAGGATAGCAGAGACGAGGATGAAGGAGAAGAAAAGGCTTCCTTCACTCCTAGTGGTGAGAGGGAGGGGGAGGGGAAGAAAAGGGAGTGGTGGAAGGAACACGGGGAAACAAAAGGGTGCTTAAAGGAGGAACCCTTTGCTGAAAAGCAAGGTTGAAAGGGAGAGGGTAAGTGTATCACTATGGAGGTGCATGTGTGTTATGTATGTGAGCTTGGGGGGTGGGGGGGGCGCGGCGAGGGCGTCTGTAACGCAATATAGTAGAGAAGGGGGCGAAAAGAAGAAAGTCGTGAGAAGAGGAAGAAACGGGGATGAGAGCGAGGGTCCTGGAAAGGGAGGGGCTTCCTGTCCGTCAGTCTGTCCAGTGCCTCCCTGCCGCAAAGACGAACGTCCAAGCGTCAGTTTTGATTCCCACGGGCCCTTCCATTCTCCCCACAACAGTGTGGCTCACATAGAAAGCCGTATCCGCTGAGCGCATAAACAATATCGTCGTCACCTGCCGAGTACGTTAAATTAGTTCTACCGAAATCAACTCCTCCCCCCCTCAAAAAAAAAAAAAAAAACGAGAAATGATGTATGGTCGTGTCCGCAAAGTCTCCATATTCCTACTCGGTAAAGTCCTTGTTAATAGCTATGGACATTAGCAGATATCCCATTGTTGAGCTTTTACCAATAAATTAAAAATACGTATATAAAATATTAAAAGTAACTTACAGGTTATCAGCTAGCCTGAGTAGAATTAGTAATGCTAACATAGATTTGATTGGTATAATATTACTTTCTTTAAGATAAAACCAAAAAGTTATCAACTTTAGGACAGATTAGTAACTTGAATAAAAACTACTTATTATGTAACAGGAACTCAATCTTATAAACAAAAATAAAAACAAGAAAATTTAATCAAAATAAACATGTTACTACTTGTGATATTAGAGATTTTTCTAAAGTAAATTAGATGTTATATATTAAATAATACTCTTAGTAGCAAATTTGCTTTTAATTAATATATTAATTAAAGTACTCTATTATAATAATATTATCATAGGAGAAAATACAAATTAATTATTAATTACATATTTTACCAACTCTTACTAGTATAAGAAGTCTCTGAATTGTATAGAAATTAATTTAAAATTATTTGAAACATATTTGGTAGTAGCTGACTCTTAAGTTTATTAAAACTAAAAAAAATCAAATTTTTTTATTTATAATGGAGATTTGACTAAGAAGGTTTCAAAATATAGTAATCATATAACTCACTAATATATTTTAAAAGTTTTTATGTTAAGATCACTCTTTGATTACTTCAAGAATATACTTATTTAACAGGTAATAAGTCTTATTACAAAAGTAATATATATTATTACTTCTGCTTTTTTTTGATATAGTAATCATCTTGTAGTTGTCTCCTATTGCTTAAGAAAATAATTTTCTTAAGCTCTTCCACTGGCAACAATCATTCACTATACTTGTTATAGTACCGTAAAAACTCGGTAGATCTATTATTGGGGTTTGAGGTTTGGCTGTTACAACAGGAGAGTTTGTATGATAGTATTAAGAAAGTAAGTAATTATTTATTACTGTGAAATAAGAAACTCATATAGACTGTAACATTCCTAAGTTCTTGTTAAAATATAGTGACGAGTAATGATACTATTTCTTAATATATATATATATATCCTCTTTCTTTGATAGTTCTTAAGCCCTTTAGCCTACATTACTGATACTTACTTGGGTAATACCTATTGTTGTGATATATAAAGATATTGCCATTAGGCCCATGGAAATTGTAAAGGATAAAGAGTGTGAAGATGTTTTATTCATATAAAGTAATAAGTAAGGAAATTACTTAGAATAAAGTATGGAGAGCCTATCTTCCTTGACCCTATTGGCCTCCTTATATAGTGCTCTTCTCGCCAACCCTAACCCTGATGACTCATAGCTATGAGTCCTGTAGAACCTTATAAACAAGTCATATGACTTGAGTGAGTTATATGCACAAGATGCCTGACTTATAATTAAGTCATATATGAAATCCTGTTACATTTGTGACAACCTATTTTAAAATCTTTATTTATATAATATATCCTGATTCTCAGACATTCTGATATTCCAAATATTTTAATATTAAATTATTGTCTTCTCAAATACTAAAACATATAAAAAAATTAGATGATACTACTTTGGACCAACTACATTTTAGTTACTATTATTTAATAAACATGCTAGCCTGGGAACTTAATTTGACTGTAGAATTTCAGGTATCATATCCTACTCTGGTTGAATTGGTTAAAAGTATGGACCCGACTTTACCATGATAACCGCCTCCAGTTCCTCACTTCCTCCCGGTTCCTGCCAGTACCTATCATACTGTACCACCATACCATACAACCCCACAAAAACCCCAACGGGCATGACCACGCACCGACACAAGCAAGACCATCAGCGGGTTATGTCATACAAAGTGTCTTGGCGAATGCTGGTCCCATACAGATATGGCTAGTTCGTTTAACCCTTCTTAAAGTCGATATCATCTATTATGAAAATGAGAGCACACAACCGATCCCTCCCCCTTCCGTTTACTTTAATACCCCATCTCCCCCCCCCTCTGACCCCCCCAAACAGTCAGGATGTCGTTACACACCCTAACCCAGGCCCAAGCCCGATGACGATATACGCCCATCCAACCAACTAGCCAACCAATAAACAAAGCGAAGCGAAACAAAACCATTCCCAAACTCAGCCTAGCGCTCGGCACCGATACCATATCATACCGGTTACTGGATGTCTCATAGCAGCAAGCGTGCGCCTAAAGCGCTACCCGCAAACCCATGCCATATCGAAGCAGGCTGTAAAAAGCAATTGCTAGGCTGACTGTTTGGTTTGGTTTGGTTTTTGGTTTGGTTTGTGGACGCCCCCGCTAGAGAGGGGGCCCTGACGTTGACAAGTATTCGGGACGATCTTTTGGCGCATTAATGTCGGGTATGAGAAGAACACCCTGCTCCTACCATACAGTGTTAAGTAATCAAGTCCATAAAGCGGGGCCAGCAATACAAGTACTCCGTCAACTTACCGGGAGGTAAATTTATGATGGAAGCCGCCCCTTCAACAAGGCCTTTTTCCCACAGCAAAATATTCCGTCTTCCATTCCCCTCCTCCCTCCCTCCCAGCGCCGTCCCAAGCGTCATGATACCGTGCCAGCGGTTTAAAACACCCACCCACCTCCCTTCCCTCCCACAGAGGAACTCCGTCACAACTCCCAAGGTCCGAACCCATCCCAGCCCAAGGGCCTCGACGATATCATCATTTTCTTGCTTTTCTTCTTCTTTTTTTTTCTTCCCCACATGCGGGTTTTGGCTATCTGGACGGTGCGTGTGGTGTTAACTAGCGCGAATCAAGTAAGTTTAGTTAATTGCGGTATGGATAGACAGGATATTTCCCGAAGCAACTCGTACATTATGATGCAGCGGTTGGATGCCACCACCACCACCACCACCAGGGTGACGGCAGCAGCAAAGCAAGGACTGGATGGCAAGAGTAATTCATCCATTCATCTCGGTGTGGATAATATATTAATAAGATATCATTATCAGATCATGCACGTTGGGAAGAAAAAATATATGCAGTATTACTGCTATTATTATTATGGTGAGGAGGAGGAGGGCGGACATATAATACGACCTCTCACATTCTCCTCAACAGACATAGGATTGCAGTATCGTACCGGTATTTTCCCACGACAAGGACAAGGACCTTACGCTGTTACATACCATACCGGTACAGTACTCGAGTACAGTAGCGCTTTCGCACGGTCTCCGAAAAGTATAAAATATTTTATCATATCCGCACGATAGTTTTTTGCTCGCTTCTCATGCTGCGAGCGGAGGTCAATATTGTCACGGTAGCTGCTTGCTTTTTTCTTTACTTCCCCTCAGAGGAGGATAAGTCTAGCCAAGTCACTTGTCTCCTTCGCCCTACACACCATTTCCTTTTTTTCTTTCTAGTATTTTTACTTTTATCCTTTGTGAGGCTGGGCTGGGCTAGTCTGGTCTGCTCAGGGTGATGGACCGTCATATCTAGCTGCAGGGCAATCTGGCAGTTTAACTACACCATCAAAGGGAACCATTGAATGAAAAAAAAAAAATCCTCACTTGTCCCCCCTCCTCCAATTTCCATCTTTTTGCCTTCCTGTGGTGTGCTTTAGTATACCTTCACTGCTACCCCACGGGGTTCGTCCACTTGTCTCCTAGTAATTCGAGACCAGTGTAACTCGACATTCGCATGGACGTTAGCTCCCAGAAGGGGAAACCTTATCTATTCTCTCTTCTTTCCCATGATAATACCGGTACTATGAAACCACAACCACATCACACAACATCACTCGAAAATCCCGGCACATCCGAAATCTTCTGAGTTAACCGTAAAGCAGGTGAAAAAAGGGAAAAACATGAGATAAAAAGTACCGCAGATTTGGCAACCCCAAACGTATAATACGTATGATACAGCTCAGTTCATGAAACGTACGTACGGCAGATCTATCCATACCACCGCCCCTCTCTACGCGTTTTCCTTCCAAATCCTCCCCTGGAGATCACATTTTGAGCAATTATATGGGGTAAAGGGATTCACTACGATACCAGTATCTCCTCAGTCGTCATACATGGCGTACCTGTATGGTACGGGGTATGTGTTCCCCCCTCCCCCCATTGCTCCTTCACATCCGCTCCGCCCTTCTCCTTCGAATTCTCTTACTTCATGCTTCGAATGACCCTTGCCGCCCCACTACTTGTAGACATGGAGCTCCGCTCCAAACCAAAACCAAATACTTTCTGTAACGATTTCTTCTTCTTCTTTTTTCTTTTCCTTTCATCGCTTCGCGAAATACTCGAGCACACGTGCGTACATGTGCCTTCGTCATAGGGGATAGGGGGGAGAATGGAAACTTAACCCCTCATGGGTTGCGTTGTAGTCTTGTAGTCGAGTTTAGTATTCGACTAACTTGAGGCATTTGAGGACGAAGAACAGGGTCTTCGGGAACGTTTCTATGCGGTTGTCCGTGTTGTTTACGGGATAGGACAGCACAGGGCGGGATGAGATGGAATTGCTGCGGGTTGAGCAGGAGAAGCAGGAGAAGCAGGAGAAGGGTAAGGGGAGGAGGTTATTTCGGATGCAAGCAAAATTCTGATATTCCATCATCTGCAAAACGCATAACCGCCCGGACCGACCGAAAATAAACCACCCTCACACAAACATCACCTGCTTCGGCACAGTACTCGTACCTGTGTCAACGTCGGCCACCGACCGACCAAACGAGATGAGAAACAAAATATTCCAAACTCACACCCCCACCACCACCATCAAAACCCACGCAAGGGAAATAATCCTCTCTCTCATGGTCGCTGCAGGGAGTTGAGCGAAGATAAGGGCGTCACCATTACCGTGCAAAAGCCTCACGGTTCGCCAACAAGCCCTTCCGATGTCTCACGAGAGTAGCTGAAATGCGGCCACTGTGAGACACACTCTGTGCGAGCATCCTGCTCGCGAGGTTTGTCTTTTTTTTGCCACGATGATCGCGGGGCTGCTGGCTGATTTTGGCCGGATGTGGGAGAGGGGGGAAGGCCTCCGTACGTGCCGATACGATACCACTGTCTAGGAATATGGGGTTAGGTTGCAATGGCGCCATCTAGCGCCATGTTTCTGAAGGTACTGTATTTGCTACTCTAAGGCTTAATTTATATCGTACCGGAATTCCATGATTACTGAAGGTCGGCAATCCTGGCCGCTAAAGTCAGCTATCATATAGCTAGCCTGGGTCTCCACCAAAATTATTGGGGGGCTGCAAAACCTTACTGTCTGTCTTGTGCTCTCGGGTATGGCAGAAAAGGGCGGAAAAAAAGGATCATGTGGGGTATCATTTAAATCTGTATTACACGGTATGAGACACCCCTGTAAACGACCATTGCCAAGGAATATGGAAAATCCTAGGCTAAGAGTTATCAGGCCCTCAAAACTAGATCACCACCTGCCACCACCGAAAATAACCTTCCAAGCTTACAGGAAAACTAGAGGGGCACCTATGATACTGTCAATATGATACTACAAAGGGTAGCTACTCATTGTTGTATGTAAATGAAGTCTGAGTGGCTATTTGCTCCGAGTAGGGTATTTGTATGTGCGATGTGTACTGTACAGTACCACTTGGCATCTCTCCTCTCCAAATCAATCAAGTTGTTTCCACCATGTCTCTATAAAAGAAGCGGTCAACGGGGGTACTTACCTACATAATATCAACTATAAACGAAACAGCAAGCCGCTGAGACAGGTTGCTAATCTGGTTGATCTACTACTATATGATAATTAAGTGTGGTTCACCCCCACTGATCCCCCCACCTGCAACCATTTTTACCCGTTATATCATAGTTTACCATTAGAAACCTTTCCCTATCCAAGCCCTAGTCGTCCGAACGAGGGACCTGTGGGTTTCGTCCACGCCCTCCTTTTTCCATTTCCAGTTCTAGAGCACTCGCACAGGCACAGTGATCGTAACTGCTGGTGGAAAGGCATTCTCATTCCGGGCGAACACTCTATAGAAAAGCCATAGCGGTACCATATCATACCCGGCAACAGTTGTATGATAAGTTAACAATCAGCAGATCAATCCATCCATCCATTCAGAACGAACACCCTTCAATCCCAACCCTGCACCCCCATCTGATATCGATATTGATATGAAAAAGACAGGTAAGATTCGGGATCATGAACAATCACTTTGTCGTATGTACGATAAATACCCTAACGGACGGTATATCATACGAGAGCACTCGACGAAAACAGTAGGGTATCGTACCCGAAATCGCTCGGACGGGGGAAGAAGAAAAATCACTTAGAAAACCATACACCGTCACTCGTCACCTGCCACCCGCTACTCTATGATAACTTTCTCGGATGGCAGTAGTTCTCACACCCCACCCCCCACCTAAACAAGAGTTCCTCCCTTGACGAATAATTGACTGACTGACCGACCCCCCCCGCGGTCAAGAGGAAAAATTATGAGAAGGAAACTAATCTAGTATTCGCGCAAGCACGGAATCGCAAAGGGAAGGAAAAAATAATAATGAAAGGAAACATCGCCAGTCCAGCCAGTCAGTACGCGGAAAAAAAATAAAACTCAGCGAAGTAGAACTAGTAGAGTAACGTATCGGCTGATATAATAATCACTGGTTAGGTTAGTCGGTCGGTCGGTCGGTCGGATCAGATCCGTTAATCTAAGATGTATCTTACCGGTGTGATATGATGACTATTACGAGTTGTGGGAAATTCTCCGGTCCAGGGGAATTCAGTACCAACCCCCCCCCCCTCTTACCCCGATCACCTATCGCGGTTTTTTTCACAAGATGTATGATAATAATTATCATACCTATCGTATCGTACCTCCCAGGATTTCACCTCAAAGGGCTAAGGTTGCGAAGGATCAGATCACCAGAAATCACTCGATGGGCTCTCGGTCCGGACCCCACCACCGGACTGATATTAATGTCGACGGGGGTATCGTGTGCGATATGATACCATGTGGAGTAGGAAGTAGCGATGGTTTTTCCACCGCCAGAGACTAGGAGAGGGAGGGAGGGGAGAGAGGGAAACTATATCGAGAGTCACAGAGAACAAAAAAAAAAAACTACCCAATTATGAGTGAGTGAGCGGCGTACGGTGCTTTGTGCTTGTGCTATCATACTAGATTCGATGGCGCCCTGGCACAGTATCACACACTTTGAATATTTGTTTACGGGGTGAGTATCATATTCGTGTCACAGTTCACGTTTACAGTACCTCTCAGGGCACCTTCGATCTGTACCCCCTATCCTCAAACGACGCAAAGGACGCACACCAATGGCCTCAATAAACTTCATCAATTCCATCCATCCATCCATCCACCCATCCATTTGAAGGCCCCTCCCCCTCCTTCATCCTCCTCCTACACTTTCCATAAGCAGTGGATAACGATGAAAAGCTGGTATCCTAACATTACAGACGTTCACTCTGTACCCATCCACCAACTGGCGGACAGAAAAATAGTATATAATATATATATATATAAGAACCACGAGGAACGGAAAAGAGATGTTTTTTGGGTTTTTCCGGGGAAAGAGTTGGGTTTTAAGGGCAGAGAAACAAAGGAAATAGACATAGGGAAATGACAAATAGACAGGAAGATATTCAGAACCAACTCCCCGTAAATAGAATAAAGCACTAGCAGCAGGCGAGCACTAGCAGCAGGCGAGCACGAGACAGGTAAACGGACATGAGTAAGATGGATATATAAATGGGATAGATGGATATAGGAGCAGCATAGCATAGTTAGCTAGTCCGGGGACCTCTCCTTCTCACACTCCAGACAAAAAAATCACTTTGGTTGAGAATGATGATGAACCCTCTTCTTTTTTTCTCTGCTTCAAGCCCCTCACTCTTTGTTCCGCTTGGCCTCTAATCCTTCCTAACGACAAATCCGACCCAGCTCGAAACGTTGACAGCCGATTTAATTTATCGTTCTGGGCCGATAAAAGTTCAAACAGCTCCCCGGGGTATTGCTCATCCGTTTGATCTTCAATCCAGTCAAGTAGATAGGCTAGGACCGCACCACATTATCGGAACATAAAAGGGAGAACACGCCAAGTCAACAGCAAGATATGTAAAACACTTAAACAAAAAAGAACACCTTCCCAAGAAGTTGCTTCAAGAAGAATACACCAGGCCCAGTAAGAAGACAAGAAAGAAAACCAAGAGAAAGTTCGAAAGACCTGGTATATACCCGCGAAAAGACAAATTCTGTGACAACCAAAGCCAAAAGAATATGAAATACAGGAAAAGTAAGACCTAAATAAAAGCGAAGATGAAGATTGTGAAAAACCCAAACACTAAAAAAAGTTAAATAAAATAAACGAAAAGAACACCTTTTTGACTCCCTATTCACTAGTAAATTGCTGGAAAGACATCCGTAAATCCCTGCCCCCCCCCAAGAGTAGACTATAGATAGAGATGAAAAAACCCAACTATAGTCAAAAAGCAAGAGGATCAAGAAAAGGCGACGAGAGTGAGCAAGAATCCAGACATTAAATCTCATCAGACTCCTCAGCAGAGCAGCCTATGGCTTGCCGCCCCAACAGAAGTTAATAGATATTCGGTTCGAGGTTGCCGGGTCGCCGTGCTTGTGCCGGGCTGGAAGAGAAGGAATTGTTTTCGAGGTATCTAATGGTCCGAAGGGGAAAAGGAAAGAAAATAAAAGAAACAAGGTTGAATAAGAGTTTTTTTTTTTCCCCTCTATCAATTGATAGGAACGAGGTCCAAGAGAAAAGATGGTGGGTGTGATGAGGCATTGCATGAGCTCCGTCGCTTGTTACATCCCTACCATATCTAGCAGATGACGCAGCAACCAGCTCCATTTGTTATTGGCGCATATGGATCTTCACGTTTATCCACCTGTAATTTGAACAAAAATAAAAATAATTAGAATATCATCCCAATAGTGGATACACGTGGTGTTGGTATCAACCAAGAGGCCGAACGAGTTGTGCAACAATTGCATTTGAATAACGCGTAGCCTTGTGCGAAGATAACTATAAAGAATGAGAGATACAAACTCACTTGACCCCATGTAGAAGGAACCATAAAGTCCTTAGTATTGCGTGTGTAAGCGATCATTCTGACCAGAGTTGTTAGTAAAGGATTTCAATAGTGAGGAGTGACAAGGGAATAGAGTAAAAGGACGCGATACAGCGCAGATAGCGCTAGCTCAAAATGCTTGATGAAAAAGAGTTTTTAAAACAAACGCGGTACATTAATAAAAGAAGGAGCAAACATACGAGTGGCACGCTTCAGAAACCTTTACTCGTGGTCTTTCCAGATCCTCCCTCAGCCTTGCATTCAGCTCCGTTAACCGCCTCAATTTCAGCTCGGCCATCGTTTGTTTCTTCTCCCTCACAGCTCCGGCGGAATGAAGAGCCATTTTGTCGTTAGACTATATTATTATCTAATAAAGTCGATGATAGTAGACCCGCTTCCGAGAGAATAGTATTCCACAGAAGAGCGAAGAAATGGGGAAGTTTTATGTGTTCCGACAAAAGAGGGTCGAATCTCGTCAAGAGGCGCAGTCGAGTAAAGGATTGCGGAGAGGAAAGCGCAGAGTAGAAATAAAGGGCGGAGAGAACGTAAAAAGAAGCTTGACGAACAGCTGTGAAGAGATGAGCAGATGAGAGGGAGGACGAGGGGGGAGAAGGTGAGGTGGATTAGGACGGAGTAAAGACTGAGGATGGAAGTCTTCTCGGGAAGATTCTTCTTCTTCCTCCTCGTCGAAAAGGGGGGTGTGTGGAGGGGGTAGTGGTTGAGTGTTGATGTTGGACAGGTAGCAACGGGGGAGTACGGCTGATGAAAGCGAGAGGATGAGAGGGAGGAAGAAGTGCTTGGGCTAGTTTGCTTTGCTGGGTTGAACCGCTTCGGTTGGTGGGAGGGTGGGAAAAGAAAGGGGAGAACGAAGTGTCGGTACCGCGACAGGCAAAGCGCGGACTGGGGGGGGAGAGCAATAGGGAATAAGGATTGTGGAGAGGGGCCTCGCTCGCAAAGGGGGGGATACAAACGGCTGCGGTGATTCAGAAGGAGTGAGGAGGAGAAAGGAAAGGAAAAAAATAGGGTGGACAGAGCTTTTTTTTTTTCCTTTTCCTCTCACCCTTACTGTAAAGTAACTTCTATCCGTATATATTTTTCACCGTATGATACTGTTCCTTTTTCTCTCTTAAAATGGTTAGACTCCAATATTTCATCAGAGTTTACCGTAAAAGCGTAGGATGATCAAACACCAAAGAGAAAGCGACCTACCGGTACCGTATAGGACGATATATTGTAGACTACTACACCGGTATCGGGCACGGTATTTTCGAAGTTAACGAGGAGGATGGATGGATGGATGAATGGATGTTCTGCTCCGGATGCGATGAGACTTTCCCCAGATAACTGTGAGTAATTTGTCGCCGCAAGTGTTGGTTACTTGAACAAAGATCCCTCGGCGCTGTTGATTGTGGAGAGGACAGAGCCAGCTAGGTTGGTTATGGTACGAGTACAGGTATGGGAGCAGGCAGGGTGAGGAAGGAAGTACCGGCAATCGAGCAACCGATCAACCAAGCAAAGCAGGGAAAGCAAACAAAGCAAACAAATCAAGCAGGCAGTGGCCGAGAACTTCCAGACCAAAACAGTTGTCTTTTCTCAGGGGTCTTGACAGCGTTGCTGCACCATAGAAGCAGTGTGGGGCAAGGCAGCGAAGTTTAAAGAATCGGACGGCTCGTCACCATTCTTTTCTTAGGTACTATAGATACCCTAGACGTGCCAAACGGTACCCGTACGGTATCGTATCATACGAAAACAACCAGTGCTTGTAATAGTCCACAGCACGGCACAGATGCTGTGAATTGGAAGAAGGGACGAGACGAAATGTGCGCAGAGGCTGCAATGGAGCATACCGCAAGTGGAAAATGGAAAATGCGTGAAAGGAAACAATGAGAAAAGGAAAAAAAATGTGGGCTTCACAGATGGTTCCACCAGTCCGGAAATGGAGTTTTCGTGCAAGGATGTGTGCTCAGTGAATATCATTTATCGCACTGGACCATGATACCATGATGCCGGTCCAGTGCCGGTCCCCAAGTGCTCGCGAAACTCGGGGATACACCCCGGCCCCGAGGATCTGCATCATTTTTTTGCTGGGGTCTTGGCATTAAGGTGTCCGGACACTTATGAAATTCGCGAGACAGCCCCATCAAACCACTTCACAACCCCATCGATCAAGCAAACTGTTAATCTATCATAGCACGCAACCACGATGGAACAGGATTCAAAACAACATGCACCCCGAGTTCCTCTCCAATCCCTTCCCCCTCTACCCCCCATCTGTCTCATACTGTGCACTCATCCCCCATCCACTACAAGTGAATCGCTTCATATATCACCATAGTAAGTGATGTCAATAGGTGGAGTGCCCGCGCAATAGTATTACAACTCCGAGCTTCAATACAGCACAGGTACTAGATAATTTCAGATCCCTGCGCCCCCTTTACTCGAGTATGCTACTTGGACTGGAAGCACTGAGGCAACAATACGTCCGTGGTGGTTTACGGTAGCTGTGCTGCACCTTACAGCGCTATCCAACCATGTCGAACGTCTGCCGAACCACGATCACGCACTTGAGAAATGGATACAAATCCTCCGGAGCATTCGGATCACTACCTTACACTGCTGTAGCGATAGTTTATTGGGGACAGCTCTTCCGCCCATCACAGGAGATGTTGGGGGGGGGGAAGTTCCCGTTAACAAATGAGAATTACCCTTACGCATGCGGGATACCGCGCCAGTATGGCCCGGGCACTTCAGCTAGCCTTCAATTTGGCTGCCAAGAAAATCGGACGAATTGCGGGTTATGAACCTTTGATATCAGTGTCAGGCCTTGGGGGTCGGCAGTTGGGGTCACTTATGGCTTTCGGGTTTCTATCTAAGGGAGGAAGGTGAGCAAGGCAGGTGTTGAAGATATCAACGGGAAATTGTCGTCGAAAACTACCACTACACACGTGTGCTGGTACTGGCATTGGTTCTATAAAAGGTGATTGATTGGGATATCCAATTCTGGTTTTCGTGTGTCATTTTTCACAGTGATATTTTGTGATTCAATTGCCTTGGTAGATAGATCTCACGCAAAGCCTTTGTGTCGCGGTAGTGCTTCTGTCAGCAGTCACACACCCTTTTACCAAAAGAAAAGAAGATAAAAGGGGAAAAGAAAAAAAAAGAAAAAAAAGATAAGAGGGTAAAATAGCCTTATCGGTAAATAGTATTTCCCCTTAGGGGATCACCAACGAGGAAAAAAAAACCATCTCGCAGCCCACTCCAGATTAACGATCCTCCCCACTTCAACTTCACGACTCTCAACCGCAGAGTCAATTCTCTCAGTGATTTCTTATCACACAATTTCATATCAGCAACTCCTGTCTGAAATTGCCTTTTACTCGACACGGCGATCGGCTGGCTCTAATTTACGAAAATGCCTCCACCTCCTCACGCGAAACCTGAGAATGTTCTCAAGGTTTGTCGGAGTCCTTGCCCCGCAATAATACTCTCCCCTGATCTTTGCTCTATGATGGATTTGGTACAGGTCTAACCTTTTCCTCAAATATAGCGAGCGCAAGAACTTGTTGCTGTCAACAAGAATTTGAGTGCTCTTGAACTTCTCCACGAACATGTTACCGCCAAACGATCGCGACTTTCACCCATCGCTTCACTGGAGCCCGTCATGGTGCTCTTTGTGGAGCTCTGTGTCAGCCTCAGGAAAGGAAAGACGGCAAAGGATGGGCTGTACCAGTACAAGAATATCGCCCAGAATAGCAGTGTCCAAACGATCGAGGTTTGTAGATGGCGTTGTGGTTCTTATTCGATGATATATCTGACTGTTGTATAGATGGTTCTTCGTAAATTCATCGAACTTGCGGAGGCAAAGGTTACCGAAGCCCAAGAACGGGCGGAACAGATCACTTTAGATGCCATCGATGATCTCGAGGCTTCCGAGACACCAGAGTCTATCCTCCTCTCTACGGTTTCCGGCGAACAATCCCGGGATCGAACGGACCGAGCCGTCGTCACGCCATGGTTGAAGTTTCTTTGGGAGACATACCGTACTGTCCTCGACATCCTCCGGAACAATGCTCGACTTGAAATTATGTATCAGAGCACCGCCTTGCAGGCATTCCAATTTTGCTTGAAATATACCCGGAAGACCGAATTCCGAAGACTCTGCGAGCTTCTTCGGAACCATGTTCAGAATGCTGCGAAATACTCGACTCAGATGCACGCCATCAACTTGAATGATCCCGACACCCTCCAGCGTCATCTTGATACCCGCTTCCAGCAGCTCAACGTTGCAGTCGAGCTGGAGCTATGGCAGGAGGCTTTCCGCTCCGTGGAGGATATCCATACTCTTCTCAACTTGAGCAAGAGACCTGCCAAAAACGTCATGATGGCCAACTACTACGAGAAACTGACTAGGATATTCTTGGTTTCTGATAATTACCTTTTCCATGCCGCGGCCTGGAGCAGGTACTACAATTTGCTTCGGACCAGCGCTGCTCAGGTTGCCGCAGGGTCTGCTCCGGTGAAAAAAGACTTTCCCGCTGCCTCCGATGCAGATCTCTCGCGCGCAGCTTCTCTCTATCTCCTCGCAGCTCTCTCCATCCCGGTGATTAGTCAGGCTCGATCCAAGGGTGCCCTTCTCGACGTCGATGAGGCAAAGAGAAACAAGAATACCCGCTTGACGAATCTCCTTGGCATGAGCAGAGCTCCTACCAGAGCTGCATTATTCAAAGATGCAATTAGCAAGGGGGTTCTTAAGCGTGCTAGGCCGGAAATCAGGGATCTGTATTCTATCCTTGAGGTCGATTTCCATCCTCTGAGCATTTGCAAGAAGATCTCCCCTATATTGGTTCAGGTTGCTGCGGAGCCTGATATGAAGCCCTACGTTATCCCTCTTCAACAGGTCATCCTCACTAGACTATTCCAACAGCTCTCTCAGGTTTATGATACCATTCAACTGAGCTTTGTCATTAACCTTGCATCCTTCCCCGAGCCCTTTGAGGTTACTCCTTCTATTATCGAGAAGTTCATCATGAATGGATGCAAGAAGGGTGATTTGTCGATTCGTATTGACCATGCTGCGGGTGTTCTCACATTTGAATCCGATATATTCTCCTCCACCAAGCCCTTGCACCCTGGCTCGGTGGCTGGATCAGCCGAAAAGGAGACAGGTTCCGTTCAGAAACTCCAGAGCACCCCTTCGGAAATTGTTCGCAGTCAACTCTCTAGACTCGCAAAAGCGCTCTATCTCACTTGCTCACACGTCGATCCTGATTTTCAGCAGTACCGTCTGGAGGCCAAGGCTGCAGCCTATGCCAGGGCCCAAGCCGGTGCTCAGGAGGAACACGAGGATACGCTTGCTCGACGGACCATCATCGAGAAGAAGAAAGAGGCTGCTGAGACCGCTCTCCTCAAGAAGGAGAAAGAGGAGGCTCAGCAGCGCCTGCTTAGAGCGGAAGAAGCCCGTGCTGCAGAGGCCGCTCGTGCTGCAGACCAACAGAAGAAACGCGAGTTGGAGAGAATGAGGCAAGAGCAGGAGAAGATTCGGAAAGAGGAACTCAAAAAACAACTCGACGAACTCTCGCTTGATGCTAAGATAGATGTCGAGAACCTCGAGGATCTTGACAGCAATCAATTGAGAGCGATGAAACTCGCCCAGTTGGAGAAGGAGAAGAGGGAGATGGCCGAGAAGCTCAGGATAACTGGGAAGAGGATTGATCATCTCGAAAGAGCACTCCGCCGTGAGGAGGTTAATGTTTTGCCCAAGGACTTGGAGAGGCAGAGGGCGGAGGATCTGGCCGCGTATGAGAAGAAGAAGCGAATTACGCTCGCAAACTCCAAGAGGCAACACGAAGAGGCAGTTGCTCTGAAGAGGCGGCTTAGTAGACTTGTGCCTATCTACGAGACTTTCAGGAATGATATTAAACAGCAGAGGCACCAAGAATTCGAGTCGAGACGCAAGGCTGCCGAGAAGCAGCTTGAGGTTGAGATGGGGAAGCGGCGTCAGGAAGTCCGTGCTGCTAAAGAGCGGAAGAGAAAAGAAGCGGAAGCCGCCGAGAGAAGAAGAGTCGAAGAGGAGGAGAGGGCGCGCAAGGAGGAAGAGGAGAGGGTCCGGAAGGAAGCGGAGCTACGTGCTAGAATGGCAGAGGAAAAGGCGAAGCGTGACGAGGAGCGGAAGTAGGCTATATTTTACTCTATGACTATCTGGGTGATCATGCTAATCCGCGATATAGGAGACTTGACGAGATTGCCGCCAAACAGCGTCAACGAGAGCAGGAAGTCGAAGAACGCAAGGCTCGTGAGAGAGCGGAGCGTGAGAGTCTCAAACGAGCTGCCCCCGTTGAAGAGACGCCTGCAATAGAGGCGCCAGGGTCTCGACGCTGGGCTCCTCCTAAGGCTAGTAGCTGGCGTGACCGTGAAGCTGAAAGGAAGACCGGCGATTCTGCATCTCCACTTAACGGAGCCAGGGATAGGGAAAGAGATAGAGATAGCGCCAACGCGTCCCCAGCACCTGCTGGTGAGCGCAAGAAGCTGAACATCGCTCCAAGGACTCTTCCGAAGGAAGATATCCAGGTGCCACCTCAACTCACCGAGCGTACTGTCGAGCGTGGGGCCGCTCCATCTCCCGACGCCGCCGCACCGAAGCCGGGTGTTTATAGACCTCCTGCTCTCAGCGGCCGCACACTCCAGACTGACCGCCCCGCTTCCCCGGCCAGCGGTGGAGAGGCTGACAAGCCGAAGAGTGAGAAGTGGGTTCCACGCCGTCGTCTTGGAGGGGACAGTAAGGAAGGCGAGAGTAGCGAGAGGAGGGGTGGAGGCAGTTGGGGATCAAGGCGTTAAATTATTGTGCTCTCTTGTTCTAGGTTTCTTTTCATCTTTCTCACTATAGGGGTATTAGGGGGGCGACGGCGGGTTTGCAGGAAAGGTAGGGGTAGAAAAGTATGATGGGATTACGAGGTAACGTATTGGAAAAAAGGGTAGTAGTAGCTGTACTGTCTTTTTTTTTTCCTGCCCCTTTTCCTTTTCATTCCCCTACAGGTCATTCATTTGTTGTGTTGGTGGTGTCCATGAGTCTCTGGGTTGAGACGCAATGTAGTGGAGGTGGCGGCGGTCGATGAGGCTTTGGTTTTCCTAAAATTTCCTTCTGAACTACGATCCGCCGACCGATTGGTGGGGGGCTTGATACTGCGTTTCTTTTCTCTTTCTATTTCCTTTTCAATTTATCTAAAAAAAAAAGGTATACCTATTCCTTGAGCCCTTAACTACTCGAGTACTGTACCGGTATCATACCGTACCGCACCTCTGAATTATAAAACCTTCATGAACTCTCACTCGCATCATAATATGATCATATCCCTAGTGGAGGCCGTTTGGTAACACGACCGCGGCCAAGGTGCGCCAAAGTTGGGGATCATATTTGGTTTGGGGGGGAATTTTTGAGAGTGTCTAGCATGTCTGAAGTAAAACATATTTAACTCAGGCTTTTATCCCAGGTTGGTGCTCGAGCACAGAGCCGCAGGCCCGAGAACTAGGTATGAGAGGACCCATCGCAGCGCCCCTTTCCCACACACAGCAAGAAGCCACAGAACACACCCCCTAGCAAAGAACATTCCACCAAACACCAAGAGAAATCTCAGGAGTATAATAATAAGAAAAGAAAAGAAAAGAAAAAAAACCCCATATTTCCACCCATTCCAGGTGCCTTCCACCTCCTTCTCCTTCCCAACCAACCAACCAACCAACTCACACCCCATCATACTAACCTTACTTACACTCCTCACACTCCGCCACTACCCCCCCATCAACAACATCAACATCAACATGCCCCAACCCCCTTCCCGGCTGAACCAAATCCCGAACGGCGCGCTTCAACGCCTTAACCTCCGGGAACCCGCCGTGCAGCTTCCGATCCCAAAGCACCTTCGCCCCCTCCGCTTCCTCTTGCACGAGGATTTCAATAGTGAAGGTTCCGCCGCTGGCCGGGCGAAGCGACACCTCGCCGAGGGTCGGGAAGGTGCTTAAGAGTTCTTGGGCGAAGTAGGCTGCTCCTGTGATTGCTTGTTTGTTAGTTGGCTGCGGAGGGGGGTAGGGGAGGAGGGGAAGTAACTGACTAAGAAGCCATTTGCATTGCGTGCAATAGGTTATTGTTATTTTTGGGTAGTGGGTTGTCGACATTTTGGTGCGAGGCTCTGTTTGGGTGGTGGGGTTGGTTGGAGTTGTGTCGTTCGTTCGACTTGGTGGTTGTATGATATTATCAAAATGCTGATTGTGCCAAGTGTGGGGTTAAAGTTAATACCTGCACTCGAGTATGATGCTTATTTGCGCCGAAGGAAGTTATCAACGGGGGTGGTTAAACATGTCCTGGGCATCTTTCTAACTTCGACCAAAAAAAAAGTTCAAACCAGTTTTTTCTCTCTCCCTCTAGCTAATCAATGTGTACCGTAGGTAGACAATCACCTACTTTGGAGTAGTAATTCTCACAGGAGCAATTATCATTAAAAATCCTTCTCGCGTTATTTCCTTTTCTTCGCACCACAGCAAGTTTTTTGTATGACGTTGGTCACAGTTAGTAAGGACCAATTTCAAGCGAAGTGATCACTACGACCAAGATGGCCTCCTTGGGATCCAAAGGTCCACTGAAATACGGCCATGCACCTCCTCCGTTGACCTGATATTCTTTGCGGGTGTGGATTGCATATTTTGGTTAACTTATTAGAGATGGGTTTTGGGAGTTTTTCGACTCCTGGTCGGCGACAAATTATCATATGAATGCCTGCAAAATTGGCAAAATATGCCAAGACGTAGCTTGGTAATCAACCGAACAATCGGAATCATGCTATCATACTTGTAAGTTACTATAGAAAAATGTGGGTGGTGGGGTTAACATGACGACAAGTGAGTAGGAATTAGTCATGCGGGATGATGTCAGGTTTGTTGTCATGTGCTTTTTTTTACACGGTATTGCAAGACTCCGAGATACCGTAGTAGACTAGTGGTACAACAGTGCATTCACAACTTCACAAACTCAATCAAGTCAACTCGTAAAAAGAACCCGTATCATGACACAACTATTCACACGCATCTCGGAAAGCGTCGTAGAGTACAAAGAAACGAACATACAAAAGTCAGAAGCCATCATATCGCATCCTCTAGACGAGCCAGAAATCCACTCTATGAGGAGAAAGACAAGAGTAGAAGAAGGAAAATGGAATGAGAGAGGGAACATAGCAAATCATCGGCTTCATCTTCCTTGGCCCATAATCCCCGGACATATCCCCTATTCCCTCCCCACAAAGCACTCAAGATTCGCAGGAGAAAAGGGGGTGGAAGAAAAAAAAAATTAATCTTGGTCAGTGCAATTAAAATGATAAATAATTCCTTTTTTGTACGTTCCCGGGAGGGATGAAAGGTGAGAAGGATAGGTGCGTGGGAGGGGGGGGGCCAACGGAACCTAACAAACCGCATGATAAAAGGAAACAAGGAGAAAACACAACTTCCACTTCCCCTTCACCAGGACCGACATAAATCATAGGAGGTTGAAAGGAAAGTTCATTAGAGAAAATAAAGTTGATGGTGGGGGGAGGAATGCGCAGATATCACTTCAACCCTTGAAAGTTCACAAGACCGGATTGCTTCAAGACCCACAAACTCACAAAGCCCACAATACCACCATATCCAGCAATCCTCAAGAGGCGAACTGCCTTTCGTCGAACGTTCTCATTGAGAGCAAGGAGGCCGAGTGGATCCCTCGCATTAACCATTCCATCCCGCGTATCCGTAACCGCGGTGTACTTGTTGGCTAAAGGCATCGATGCGGGTACCAACTGGCCATCGGCAATACACTCTCCCAACCTCTCGGTGAGCCAAATAGCACGTTCCCCTCTCGCCAATCGTTCGTAGCGTTCTCGCTCCGCTTTAAGACTACGCTGCAGGTCATGGGCCCATCGGGTGAGCCGTACCTGAGCGAGCCTCTCCTCCCGTTGGGTATGGTCTGCAACTCTTGCCAGCGCAAAGTTATTCGCTGCTACCTGTGAACCTGAATCGGGAATATGTATTAGACTAGAATTACTCGCAGAAAGCAACACAGAGGCCGATGTACTCCTCATAGATCTTGGTGAGCCAGGGGTGGAATTGAGGCGTGTCAGGGATGATTCACGGTTTGATGTGGTAGCGTTATTAGACCACTGAATGTACTTCTTTGCGGATGCATGTCTTAGCCAAGCGATATTATCCGGATCAAACACGTGGCCGACCAACTCAGAAAGCTCAGAGCCGACCAAAGGTGCTACATAGTCGGGAGACATAAGCAAGCTGGCATCCATATTCTCCGAGTCACTTGAAAGGGCCGATGATATAGCGAAAGGTGCACAAGGCATGTTTTCAGACATGCTCCTCGAGACATCGGGAAACGTCTTTCCGAAGAGAAACGGACGTACTCCCGCACCGCGAAGGTCATTCAATATTGATAGTTTAAGGTTCTGAACTTTTTGGGGCGTTAAGGTATCTGCTTTGGCGAGAATGGGCAAGACACTAGTGAAGGGTGAAAGACGGCGGATGAATTCAATATCCACAGGTTTAACCCCTAGAGGAACACAAAGTTAGCAGCGATTAACCCGTATATATATCGGAGGATGCCTCACTATGAAGAATAGCATAAAATACAATATCAACCTGCGGGGTTCCATCACCCGAAAGCAAGGGGAGCAGATCTCCACTGTTTCCACCCACAATGGCGCGCGTGCGCTCTAGCTGGCCTTCGACATATCTGACCACGGGCTCGACACACTCAAGGAACTGTAAATAACCAGGTCAGCTCACGAACGTAGTCGATAAGACATAGGGGATGAGATTTTGGGAAATAAGGAAGCTTCGTACAGATGTGCCAACACCATATCCCGGCGTGTCTACGAAGCAAAGATTTCTCTCAATGACTTGGTCATCTATTCCAGGTTTTGACCTTCTCTTCCTAAGAAGTCTGCTATCATCAAGTTCTGACCACCAGTGTGGATAAGGTCGGGTGCTCGCGTAAACTTCTGTAATATCTTTTGTGCTGTCTCCATTGGAACGGCTGTTAATTGCGTAGTATGAGGATCCAGCACGAGCTCCTGTTTGACAGCTATTGGAAGATATGGGATCGACGTGTACAATATCTTCACAAACTTGAACGATAGATTTGATTAAAGAAGTTTTGCCAATACCTTGGTATACTCAGTCAGCTACCTTTTCATGATACCAGGGTGGAGGAAACGCGGCATACCAGAGTCACCTGCAATCAGAACCTTCAACTTCGCTATTCTCTTCCCCTTGTCAGTGAAAGGTCTTCTGCTCGGTATTGTAATCTCGGGCATAATAAGCTGCGGGGCATCAAGGGTTTCCTGCGATATCTCCTTTGTAGAGGTGAAGCTGGGCCTCCTAGCAGAAGATTCCGCGCCCTGCTCACTACGCATGTCCTCAGATCGGTAAGAAACACCAGAAGCGCTACGCGGAGACTCGGGATCTGAATGAGGACCCAGGATAGGTGTTAGAGGCACAGACAGAAGTCCGTGCGGTGAACGAAACTCAGGGTGGGCGGAGGACTGGAACGAGGCTATTGAGCGTTCATCAAGCCCGCGGCCATCTTCGTCCTCCTCGTCCTGATCTGCCTCGTCATCCTCGCCGTCATTCACATCCACCCCTTCCCCACTCTCGGTGCAAGAAGCTCTAGAATACTCCGCGAGCGACGGCGGCTTCTTACAGCGTAGATCAGACTCCTCCACGGAAGCGGCCAAACCCCTAGAACCAAAGTTCGAACTAGCTGATCCACTAGCTGCGGAAGCGGCGACCGTGGCCTCGTCGGCGAAAAAGTAGGTTATGGGAGCAGATGGATGGATTTGATGATGCTCTTCTCCGGGTGTGTTGGTGCCAGGAGTCGCCGGGTGTTGTTGTTGTTGACCCGCAGCAGACGACTTTCTTGATCTGCCGTCTACAAGGCCCGCGTGCATGGCTTCGGAGGAGGTGGGCCTCATAACTATTGACTCTCTGTTACCGCGGGGCGGAGGTTTTGGGAATAGTAAAGTGGTGCTATTGTTGTCGCCGCGAGGGAGGGCTGTCTAGTAATAGCGGGGTACTGTCTGGCGCGGTAGTAGGAGGCCGAACTTGATCACAACGTCGGAACAACTACTGCGGGACGAGTTTATTTAGCTCTGGTGTTGGTTAGCGAGGAGTTGAAGGTAAAATATCTCGTTTCGTGTTGTTATTAGGAGGGGGTGGTGGTGGAGGTGGTTGTGTCGAAGAAGCCCAACTTAAGAGCAGGCGGAGAAGAAAGATGGGTATGATACAGCACGTATAGTACTGTACACCTCCGGTACCGGTATTATTGAGGGGCTCGCTGCATAGGGCGATCAAAGACATGGACCGGATATACGCAGGTCGCCGCGGCACTAGTAACTCTGCAATCTCGCCAAGGAAGTGCTCGCTGCATGCCAGGTTAGCAATCAGGGCACATTCAATTAACCTATCTGACCCTACAATGAATCCTTAAGGAAACCTTTGAGCCAAGCCCCTGTTTTCTCCTCCTCAATGAGCTCCACCAGTAAATTTACTCGTACAGCGCAGAAAGAACCGCTAGAAATTGGTGAAGGAGGGGAAAACTAGTGGTCATACAATCACTCCCCGCACTAGAGGAACAGCTCTGGCTCTGAATTGAATTTTGTTTTCACGAACTTAAATTTACTAGTACTGTAAAGAAATCATGGTGTGATTGGTACGAGAGAGCAAGATCCAGGGTTTCCCGGCAATATGTCAGTTTCCATTACTATCATACCATCATCATAATAATATTATGATAATAATATTATTATGACAAGTTAAGTTAATGAGTGGTCGACCACCTAATAGAACATCAGTCAAGTCACAGTAAATTATTGTACTCGAGTAGATTGCACAACCATGGCTTAGCTTTCTTTAGTTCCATTTTTTCATTCTCATTTCCTCATTCAAGGTGCTCCAGGCCATCATCCCTAACACTCGATCCGATTGGGCGTTAAGGAGAAAACCCCTCCCATATGGTACTATAAGATAAGATCGTCGGGACTAGGGACTGCCTAACTTATTGTTTGCATCATCGTACACTCCAACTTGAATAACTAAGTTATGGTACACCTGCAATAAGGTACGAGTATGGCACCGCGGTAAACTTTTTACTGCGATGAACTGCATGATAAAAGCTCACCCAAGAAACCCCAAATTGACAGTAGGTGAGAAGGAGAACCCCCGGCAGCCGGGGCACCGAAGGGACATGGCCGGACCCTGCATTTTTTCCGCACAGTGGGGGAGTAAAGTAAATAAAGATAAGAACGAAGATATGAGAAGATGAAAGCCAAAATAGAGATCAAAATGGGGTGATTGGCAGCACAAGGGAAAACATTCCGATGTGGAAACGGGAGGGGCGAGCCATGAAACGTAGGGGAAAAATAAGGAAAGGGCTTTAAAACGCACAGATAATAAAGATGCAAGTATAGATAGAAGAGACGAGGAAACCGAACTGAAAGCGGACAGAGGATATAACAATAACAGTCATTACTTTTCCATTTCCCATTTTCCTGATAACATCCGATAGAAATCATAATCCCCATTTTTTCCCCCTTTCACCTCATCAACGATAATCCTAGAAAACTCGTTACCCATTTCCAAGGACCTGTTTCCCCAGTTATGCAAATCCTGCATCAGATAACCCCTAGAGTAAATACGAAGAGAGAAGAACCGAGAATTTACGCTCCTGATCAAGATAAAGTACCGAAGAAAAGAAAATACAATGACAGTATAACCTGGGTGAATTGGTTCCAGACTAATGAGATAAGAATGAACAACGAAACTAAACTGAGAAATATGAAAATCATGAGATGAATCACGATAGCAGAAACAATGCCCACTCCAGGGTAAAGAAGAAGAAAAAGGCAGACAACGAGAAGGAGTATGGAAATAAAATAATAGCAGAAATAGTGAACCTAGGATCCAAACGTCCGATATTAGTTGCCACCGCTATAGGATCCACAGAGTGCAGATCCTTATAAGAAGGCTAAGATCTAACAAGACTCCAAATCCCTTAACATGAATGTTAGCAACCTCACTAGTCCATGGGGATAGAAAAAACATACTTTGCTCCCACTATCAAAGAAAACGAAGAACTTTTAGTTTGAGGTAGTTGGGGTACTGTTTCCCGGTCTACCAGCAGCACCTCCTCGATGCTGATTGTAGTTACCCCTAGCACCACCTCTAGATCCTCCTCTTCCACCCTCACTTCTCCCACCCTCACGTGACGAGAATCCACGACCACCCTGCCCTCCTGTGCGTGAGTCCCTGTTGCCAAAAGGACCACGACCTCCTGAATACCCAGGGCCAGAAGCAGCGCCACGAGGGCGGCGCTCATCAACATAGACATTAGCATCACCAATCTTGTGAGGATTGCTGGCATTGGCAGCAGCAAATCCGGCCGATGTCTCGAATTCAACAAAAGCACAATTCTGCGGATGAAATTAGCCACCTACTCTGAGCTAAAATGAAGGAAACAATCTTCACCTTTTGTCTATTGATCTCAATCCGTTCCAACGCTCCGAACTTAGTCAAAGCATCCTCCAATGCCCGATCCGTAACACCTTCAGTGACATTCCTGACATATGCAGAGGTTTGGCTGATAGCAGCATTAGCCGATACAGGTGCTGGTCTAGAATGGCGCTTGCTCTCCGTGGTGTGCCATTGGGAACCGCCGCGAGGAGTTGTTGGGGTGCTTGGGGTAGCACTCGAAGAAGTAGTCGATGTAACAGGGGTGGTAGAATTTTGAGCCTGAGATGGCTGCGCTTGCTGGGCCTGTTGGATCTGTGGAGGTGTAACAGACTGGGGAACGGCCGCCGGTGCACCAGTGTTTGCTGATTTGGCAATAATACTAGCCCAAGTTGTTGGTTTTGGAGGACCTGCTGGAACTGGTGGGGGAACCGGAACTGGTGTGACTGCTCTGCGTTCGGGCTCTTTTTCCGGGGCTGGCTTTTTCTCCTCAATGGCCGGAGAAGCAGACTCCTCAGGAGCTGCCTCTACTGGAGGAACAGCGGGCTCTTCAGCCTCCGGTTCCGGCTCTGGCTCGGGATCCGGCTGAACCTCAGCCTCGGGTTCTTCTGCAGGCGCTTCGGCCGAGGAACCATTAGCGCCCCCATTGATTGGGGGTGGGAGTCCCTGGGTCCCTGGAATTGGCAAAGCTGGTTCGATCGTGGTCGTCTCCTCAATAGTAACTTTGTCCTCTTGAACCTCAATCTCAGTCGTTGTGGTTTCCTTCAAACCCACATCCTCTACTGCCTCGATAACCTCTTCAGTAATAGTCTCTGTGACTTCGGCGTCTTCAGCGACTCCTTCAGCCATATTATACTCATCGTATTCACCTTCCTCGGTTTCCTCATCATCTTTCAAGTAGCGGAATATGTCATTCAGGACATAGTATCCATTGGGCTGCTTGGCTAGGAAAAAAGTCTGGGAGAATTTGCGGTTTGGAAGACCATTGTTGCTCATCTCGCCGAGAACTTGGATCACAATCCCGTCATCAGCCGATGACTGGGCGTCCACATTGGAAACACGGACTTTACAGTCCTTAAATTCGTAAGAGGTGATCTTATCTTGAATGGCCTGAAAATCTTATCAGCCTTCGACGGGATAAAACACTTGGTTCGAGAGCTGGTGCAAGGAAAACATACACTACGACCATGAGCAAGCTGGAGGTTTTCGCCCTCAGTTCCCCAAACAAACGAAGAAGTCTTGTTATAAAAGAGCTATGCGCAAAGGGTTAGCAACACCATCTTCACCCAGCTCGAGGGATGATATAAAAAACTTACGTGAAGACGCTCAGGAGTTTTGTTTAGGGTGGTGTAATATTGTTCAACGAAATACCAGCCAACTTCGTCCTTGGGAACATCGGAATTGCCAGTATTGTTCTCGGAATGCTGAGGAGTAGCTTGGCCTTGATACCCACCTGTAGAAGAGGAAGGCGTCTGGTTAGTCGGAAAAGAATGAGGGCCAGCTTGCTGGGGGTAGCTACCGTTGGTTGGGGCAGCCGGAGGTTGAGGGGATGCCATAATTGGTGTTATGAAAGCGTCTTATTTTGAAAAGAAAAGATGAAGAGCGAGGATGTGGCGGGGCGGATACTAGAAACAACTATACAAAGATCTGCGGCTGCAAACTGGTAAGTGACGAGCAGACACTCTCTGAAATGCGGCCAGACGATAGATATCTCCGGGAAGTTGTTGGTCGAGTGTGTGACGAGTGTAGGATGTGGAAGAGCGTGGGAAACAGTGGATGTCCGTGCCTGGTGGGCGTATCTAGGAAAGAAGTACAGAAGGAAAATATAGAAAATGGAAAATAGAATTAGAGCGCAGAGAGTGAAAATTGAATTGCAAGGAAATGGTGGTGAAGCCGGAGGGGGAGCGACAGAGAAGATGTGAGCGTTGATGAAAATATGTGATAGAGGGGGAGCGTTGTGTGTTGACGAGAGGACGAGGGGTGGTGGTGGAAAAGAAGTGGTTGCGGGAGTTGTTGTGCAGAGAGGACGGGAAAGAAAAAAAAAAAAAAAGACGACTTCCAAGGTCAAGTAGGGAGGGCAGGGCAGAATGAGGAAAAAAAATTGAGCCACAGGATGACCGAAAGATCACTGTCACAGTTACAGTACGCCCTTTTTTGAAAAATAATTAAAAATCAGTAGGAAACACTTTTACCAATTACAAACCTTTGATATGGGTTTCAAATGGAATTTGTGAAGACAAAAGATACAAGTTTGAGCTTCGTGACTTTCATTCTTTTTTGTGGGCGGAAAGCTCATACAACCGCGCCACTACTTGCTGTGGTGCATCCTTTTGCTTTGCTCTCGGCGTCCTACAGACAAGTATATGCGCGAATGATGTCCGAAGAAAGCCGAGCCAGTCTTTAGGCCAGTGCGTGTCATGATTATCCTAGCGTAATTGTGGTTTAGGTGCTCCGGCAGAGTGCACAGTAGTAGGACTTAGTGCTTCTATCTGTAGAGGCGACAGGGACGGAGAGAGAGATAAAGAGATGATTCTATGCGTCCAATAATGCTGACTACAACGCACAGAACGCGCCCTGCAGTTTGACTATTGTACCGTACATACTGTAAGCAATGAGCTCAGTCAATGGCATTCTCTATCAATTCCCCCCTACGATACGACTCGCAAAAGATACTTGGGACGTCACGAGTGACCACAACATCTACAAGCAAGAGATTTGTGCGGTGCCAACAGAGACAGAGAACGGGAGAACATAGGAAGCAGTATGCAAGGAATCACGAGCTTTGTATTTGCGCAATAGAAAAACATCCTTTCGCCGGGCAGTAAATCATGTTACAATACCATACCAACAGTGTGGCACAAGTAATTTTCCCTGTCTGGATAATAACATTCCAAGCCAGGCTTCCCGCTGTCGTCAGATACAATCACAATGTTGGCGGCCTAAGTTAAATTCGACAAGATCTGACTATCATCAGTGGAAGCTTCAGTTCCCAAGATGGGCGGATTTCCCGGTCCCGTCTTCAATAAAAATGACCCTAGAAAAGCCTGATCAGATCATTGGGATCTGCTATGCATTCATTTCATTTTCGTTTGCCTTGTTGAAGCGGTCAATTTGCGCAGCCGGAGCCAGGCATGGTGTGGAGGTGAGAAAGGTGAGTTTTGTCACCCTTGTTCACACCATGATCAACTCACCAATCATGAAAAACCAAACCCTCAATTGCCTGTCTTAGAAGCCACAGGATCAATAAAAACTGTGGATGAGTTGTGGCTTGCGTGCGGGAATGAATTTCAATGATGGTGTGGACAGGGGTGACGAACTTACCTCTCTCTCACCTTCTCGCACCATATCTCATGGCACAGTAGCCTGCGCAGACGCCTGAAGCCGACCTTTAACTCATCGCATTCTGTCATAGACACAAGACTAGCATGGAATCAACATAATAAAATTTCCGGGGCAGCGTTTCCTTCTATGAATGTACGTAGGGGATATAGCGGGAAGTAGTAGTTGGTCTGATAATCCTTCGTTCATGCAAGCCCAAGTAATCTGCAAATCCCCAGCGCCGCATTTCGCAACAACTGAATATTGGAACTGGTTGCAAAACTAAAAAATCGTACAGTATGATATTATAGAGATTGAAAACTGAATGACAAAGTGCGAGTTCCGAGCGCCCCGTTAATACCCACTAAAATTAAGAGACAAAAAATGAAAGCCCACGCCCAATAGCTCCTCCGTTCGGCAATGGAGCCCTATATAACAGATGTAACCCCTGATAAGAAAAAATGGCCTCAGCCTAGCCACAAGAATACATCTGCAGTCGACACTGGTCGACTACACCGCATTCATTCAAGGTTGCCCCAAGAGTGCAGAAGTATCCCGTTGGTTGATGTACACCATATCATAACTCGTAAATAAACGAACCACCCGTCATTCTCTGCGCATACACAAGGTGAACAGCTTTGTCCACACCTGGCGCCTATCCGGGTAGCTAACCAGTCTTAACTCGCGGCCTTCGTATGGCGTCTTGCGTGTCCATTCTCCACCTTAAAGCCCTCTCCAATTTCGCACTCAGGGCCAACTTAGAGATCAACTCACTCTTCTTCTCACTCGGCACGAACCTCTGGCTCATGTACCGTCTGTCCTCAAGTCTTCGCAAACCATCCTCGATCTCGATGAAAACAGCCTTCTCGGAGGTTGGCGCAATAGAAGGGTTCGAAGAGATGGTAGTATATGATGAGAAACGGTGGGTGTCCCCTCTAGACTAAATGTAATATTAAGGTTAGCAAGAGGGTTCACACGAAAGGAAACATTACCAGATGCAACCAAGGCAACAGGAGCAAACTGAAACAAAGGGACTATAGGAGAACTAACAATCATTGGGCTGGACGAATCGAGTGAGTGAGGCATCTTTTTTTTTTTCGAGAACGAAGAACGAACACCGATCAAGGCTTTCCTTATTGCTAGAAATATGAATATTCACTCTGTGATTGGAATTTTTTTTTTTTGAGATGCTGGATGCGCTCAGGAAAAAACGAGGCGAGGGGGGAAACGGCTCTTTAAAGTAATAGGGGGGAAAGAACTTCCAACGGGGTGTGGCAGTGTCTCGTCCAACAATGACGGCGTTTAAAAAAAGAGGTGAAACAATACACTCGGTTTGATCTCGATTCTCGGAGACGGGATGGATGGATGGGTCCAAAGTAGGAAAGGGCCTGTTGCTTATAATGTGTTGTTGGTTACTTGTAGGTATCGTATGGTAGGGTAGGGCAGTTGGATCCACTACGAAGGGTGGGTGATGCAAAGGGGGATTTGGTTAAGTGGTGTATGAAGCGGAGAAGGGGTTTGTTTTCTGAAGCTGCAGATTGGAAGAAAGAGGTGCACCAGGTTTGAGGCCAGGGAAACAGTAGAAAAATGTGGAGAAGGCCAAACTATTATATCCAGACTGGGCGCCTTTGCAGTTAAAGAAAGCATTATCCGATGCCCTGCTATCAAGGGTCAGGGGGTGATTTGCTCCCCTCTTTCCCTCCCACCCCCAACCTGGTGTTGCGGAAAACGTGGCAAAATAAGCAGGCAGCCCACCACTAGAGTCCTCGTAATTCTCTGACGTTTGTAATAACGACCTTGTCCGCATACGCCTGCATTTGCTGGATGGACAAATAACATCAGTGGTGGCAAGCCATAAATATCAAGTGTGTGACTGAAATGTACTGTATGAGTACCGTACCGTATATTGGTACAAGTACAAGGTGTAACAAGTCCCCATTCCTATCCCTTTAACCGCTGAGACCTTCCAGTCCTATTTGCAATCTAGAACACTAGCCCATTCGAGTAATCGGGATAGAAAAAACTCCGGGACTCGGTATAAGTTGCAGTGCTCAGAACACAGCAATATCTGTACTGTTTACCAGGACTGTGACAGAAATGGCTTAAAGTAGGATTGCTGTAGTAGATGTGGTCACGATCACTCAGACATGCTTGTGTTCTAAACCGTAAACTGGACTGGAAGGCCTCGGCGGTTTGATCTAAGGGATGCAATTCTATTCTGTGATATCCAGAAAATATAGGGGAAGAGCCAGGGGCATCGGCCATTCGAAACACCGCCCTGGCCTGGCCTGATTATGAAATGATCTCCATCCGTATGATCCAAGGAGTTGTGGCCTTTGGAGAAAACACCGAATCCTCTCACCACCACCACCACGGTCCATGGGTCAACCTGTCAAACTGTAGCAATCTGTAAATAGAGAGCCGCTTCCCGGAAGGCGAAATACTACCATACAAGCACCACGAGTTTCATTGTCTGAAAGGGCTCGAAGGTTTTATCCACAGATCATGCAACTATAATACCGTACCCCACCGATAAAAATATCGCTGGCACACCACACAATGCGTCATACTCGAGCACAAGGTGGAAATACGGTGCCGGCATCCCACAACCCTATAGCATGGAGGCTGTGGAATGGATGGGAGGACAGGATAAAATTTGCCTGATCTCTCTTCTGAGAGGCGGACCGGGCTCGGATCTTCGACTGATCCGTATAAAACTCTGAGAATTCAAACCGCAACATAGAAATCATATCCGAAGGGTACCGTACAGTAGGGAAAACCTCCTATCACCGGTATCATAGGAGAATGAAAAAAGAAAAGAGAAAAAAAAAAAAGAAAAGGGCGCCTGTGAAAGGGTAAAGTGAGGTTACATCAACTGCATCGGCATCGAGATGCCAGGATCGTATAAAGAGGAAATTCTCAGCGAGCGAGAAACTCCGTTATCTCTCTACGAGTACTCGAGTATGGCACAGTGGAATTTTTAGACACGGCGCGCACGTCTCGATTTCTTGAACTCGCGAACATCGTACTCTCGATTGGACTCCACGGAATGGCTCCCGCACCACCAACAATACCGGTACGGTATGAGTTCTCACTTCCAAGTACCGTGCTCGAGTTCCGGTACCCATAATACGGTGCTGTATCTCGAGTATCGGGGTGAGACATCACATAAAACGTTGAAAGAAGTGTCGGGTTAATAAATAGCACAACACACCCGTACTCGAGTAACAACCAGCGTTTCGGAAGAAAGCGGGGAATCGGGGACCTACAGCCGGGCCAAGGTTTTTTTTATAAAGAACGGAAAGAATGAAGCAAAAAGAAAACAATAATTTAGCCATGTGGCCTCATGATAGCCGAGCAAGGCACCACCACATCTTAAATTTCGTAGGGATAACCCGAAAAATGGAACCAAAGAGGGATGGTACTCTGGCGCCAATAGATGGCGCCCCGGGAAACATTTCGAGACAATCTTCCGAAGTGTTTGTACGAGTACAAGTACGAGCATCGAGAAAAAAGATAAAGTGGTGAAGGGTTAATTTCAGTTGACCAGCAAAATTATCCCTGTCTCGTGCAAAAAAAATCTTCCCTATACCGTAAGAACTTGAATAATGAACCTCACACCAGGACGTTGGAGTTGCCCCTTCCAGTAAGGTCTGGTATTTCTCTTTTTATCCATCTCGCGGAGGGCTGAAAGCCAGTTTCTTGCTAGGTGAATCCCGCCCTACCGTATCCGAAGAGGGGAATTCCAGACGTCTTAACGTGGGGTTCAATTGCATTTGTACTTGTATTCCAGTTCCGATGATATTACCGTACTCCCCATCACAGGACTCGAGTGGCCAAAAAACGAAAAATAGAACCCAAGTTGGATCTAAACCATCGATGCCAATGTTTTGCATAATGTTAACCGTTTTCTTTCCCCCCAGCCTTCTTTCGTATTTTTTTACTCAACAGGGACGTTACACAGCCCCGCCCTTCGCTCCATCCAAGCTTAAGAATACCGGAATCGGATAAGCGGCTGGTTCTCCTGCAGCTGTTTCTTAGTCCATGCCAGACATACATGCGCGGTGCACTCTTGTCTCCAGGCCATGAATTGGCATCCGTTTGCCCTTTCCTGATGGGTCTGTACAAGTACCCAGCAGCTATTCTGGAAAGGGTGCCAGACAAGAGTGAGCCAGCGCCCGGCGTCCCGGTTTTTCTCCTTCCTCCCGATGCTCGAGTACTAGGTGCAAGTGGATTGTGAAGCTTGGATGAACGCTGAGGGTGAGTGAGGTTTTGTTTGGGGCGGTGGGATGAAGTGGTGGTACGGTAGTTGTTGGCAGACTATCCACGAAGTGGACTGGAGTATCATGGTTTTCTTGCTTGGTGTTTGGGGGTTTCTGTGGTGCATTGTTGCGGGTTTTTATGGTACCGGTACGCGTGCTGTATGAGTATGACGCTTTGCAGAGTGCGCTTCTCCCCTGCTGGAACTGGGAGGCGTGGTGCTTGTGCTCGGGCAGAGTGATTTCCACTCAAGCATGCGGCCTGCACTCCCAAATTTGGGGGGGATACTCGAGTAGGCACACTACCGTTTGCCCATTCCAAAGGTTTCCGGACCACATGTCTCTACTGCGCAGTATCCATGGTACTCGTACCACAAAAGTTCTTGGAGTGCACAATCAGATTACGGTACCGGTGCTCGAGTATCAGAGGAAATTAGCTCGTCAGCCCACAATGGGTTTAGTTTGACAGGTTAACAGAATTGCGAATACGGTACTCGAGTACGAGTGACTGAGACCAAAAACATACTGTACTAGTACTTGTACGAGTACCCGTACTCGGGTATGGACGTGGGTGATCGGACGGACAGGGATTAGAGGTACTCGAGTATAGCCTTTTGGCTTGCTCTAGAAATTGCCCTTCCAAACACATTATTTTATTTCCCACGGGAGTAGCGCAGTCACCTCCTGAATCCCTTGTCTATCCGATCATCTGCGTCCACACCGCAGCACAGGTATCATACCCGGGAAGATGTTTTCGTGCTAGGCAGGATTGTTAACCGGCAGGGTGATTCCTGTCTTGCACGAAAACATCTCCCCCAGTACTCGAGTACTTGTTCTAGTGCTCGGGTATTTGTAGTGAGCCGATCTTATACAAATACCGTGTCAATAAAACGTTAATCCTTATCGGGAGCCGTTTCATCTGAATCCGGAGAATACATGACTGGCGGAGATACCAGTAATGGATTTCAGGAGTCATTGCGGTATCTGCCCTTGCGCTTTGTCAGCATGAACTTGACAAATTGAAGCCAGCGACAACTACTTGTACCCATACAGTACCATAAATAGAACAATGGGTGCCATAACTATCGACCTCCCGGCCCATGAGCCCATCTGCACATGTCACCCTCGGCACGCCTCCCCCAGTCCTGCGGGTGAAATGGCTCACGCGAGGGCGATTTGGTGCGATTATTAGCCGAAGCATTGACACTCTGTCAGGAGAGGGGTCGTGGCGGCTATCATATCATAACGTTTACTGGTACGAGTACTGTACTTTGCTCGAGCACTTGGGCTCGTGCGCGATTCGTGCGGAGCGGGATGACAGGAATCCTGGGCAACGGCCCGTGTGGGGTGAGAATTACCGTAAGAACTCGAATAATTGTCACTCGCGCCAAGAGGTTAAAATAAAGTGTGGCCCTCGTAATATTAAATGAGAAGGAAATCCTTCAGAATCTGTAGCTGTCTTAGACTATCAAACATACACTTTGATCACTACTTTCAACCTCAGCTCGTATAGAAAAACCCGAGGAGAAGTCTAAAATGTAAATAGAGAAGAAAAAAGGGGGGAGAGAGAGAGTATAGAAGGCAGATGTAATGTGTTCGCAAGGTGCTAATCACGTTATCGGTAAAAGGTACAATAGTTGGCAGGTGGCCTACTCTACCAGAGAGGAGGTGAGAGCTGAGAACTAAAAGAGGCTTTGAGGGTGTACTGAGAAATGAAGAGGTAACTGTTCAACCAAGTATATTGAAATACTGTCTGTCAAAGTCTACCTTTTCCATTGGGGTAACAGGCAGTCTTTAAATACACAAATCTGTTCATGTCTAGCATGAACGAAACTAATCAAAGGTATCAAGTGATACACTTCAGTAAAACAAATCAAGTATCAAAGCGATACTTAGAACAAAGTATAAAACAAACCAAGTATTAAATGATACTTAAAACAAAACATAAAACAAAACCAAGTATCAAGGCGATACTTAAACCAAAACATAAAACAAATCTAAGTAGTAAATGATACTTAAAACAAACCAAGTATCAAGGCAATACTTAAACCAAAACATAAAACAAACGCAAGTATCAAATGATACTTAAAACAAACCAAGTATCAAAGCAATACTTATAACAAAACATAAAACAAAACAAATAACCGAAGACCCGTAATGGTTATAACAGAGGAGAATAGACTTTTCATAACAGTAGAATTTAAAAAAACACTCCATTATCTGTCTTTTGATGAACAATTGCCCATATTTTGCCATTAAACATATCCCTAAAACTGGTTGGAAGGGCAAAGGTAGAGCTAAAACTGCCACTCCTAGCTGCCGAAAGATTTTATGCAGGAGTGAATAA